TTGGGCAGCACCATCCACCATCGGGGTGATCTTCGTCGAGAAGTACGCCGCCGTATTGGTTTGGCTCATGCTGCGTTCAACCGCCACAGAAAACTCTTGTTCCAGAACCGCGGCCTTGACATCACTCGACGTCGTGAACTGTTTCGTACGCTGATCCTGAGCAAATTGCTCTATGGAGCGGAGTCCTGGACACTGCGAGATGGCAAGGACAAGCACTACTTGCATAGCGCTCTGATGCGGCTATATAACCGACTTCTTCCTGTCCAGCAACATCCACCCAGAAGTGATGCAGCCATCCTTGCTGACACTGGACTCCCGGACCCGGCTGTTCTTCTTCGAACTTGCCGCCTTCGATATCTGGGCCAGTTGTATGGCATTGGCGACAGAACATCATGGGGGCTCTTCAATGATGATGCGGATTGGCAGGCTTTGATTTGGTGCGACTTGCAATGGATGTGGAGTCAGTTGAAAGACACTTCCAAACTCCCGGATCCTAGACAAGGATTTCAACAATGGGAGTATCTCATGAGACATCATCCAGGCTTTTGGAAAAGATTGGTTCGCCGAGCAGGAGATCATGATTGTGGCCAGCGACGCAATTTGCATATCGTGGCTGAATTTCATGGAGATTTTTTGAAGATCCTACATGACCATGGTCGACTTTGTCATGCCGCACCACGCATTGAAGTCCTTCCTGGGGAACAGATCCATGCATGCATGATGTGTGAGAAACGTTTTCTCAGCAAAGGAGGGTGTGGAGCTCATCTTTTTCGTGTCCACGGACAAGTCAACTCCGTGCGACATTTGTTCTCTACATCACACTGCGGGGCCTGCATGAAGGAATACCACACATTTGCCAAGCTGAAAACACATCTCCTGCAGGTGACAGCGTGTCGCCATATCTTACAAGCCAATCGACATCGATGGCAGCCCATGCCCGGAGCTGGTTCTCAACTCAATGCGACAATGGAAGCTGCCCATGATGGACTCCTGCCACCATTGAAGGTGCAAGGCCCGCTCCTTGAACAACCTCATGGAAGAGCAGATGAGGACTTTGACCAGGATCTCTTGGAGAAGATCTTCCTGGACATTGTGGACGCCACGACCATTGCCGAGTGCGAGAGATTAATCAGGGCAGCGGCTAGAGCGAAGGCTTTGTCATGGTCGCTCTTTCAGGCGACCTTGGAAAGGTTTCTGGAGATTTTCACAGATGAAGATGCGGCAGTTTTACAGGTTCCAGGTGAGGAGATCCGACAGCTCCTTCGCACTTTGAAACTTCCTCAGGCATGGGATTTTCTGACATCAGAAGGACGCAGCAAAACCTCCCCGTGGCACCAAGAGATCGCCGCTTTGGAACAGCATTGTCTGCACGAGATCGAAGGCCAAGGGCGACAAGATTTTACTGCACACCCACCACGGGGATTTGCAAGAGAACGATACATTCTTCACCTTTTCGCGGGCAGACGGCGACAAGGTGATTTTCAGTTCTTTGTGGATGGCCTCACGGACCTTCATGGACCTTTCTTCATCCAGGTTATTTCGGTCGACATAGTGATTGACCCCCAGTGGGGAGACCTCTCCGATGCCAAGACTCGCAGATTTTGGATCTCTGCGCTCCTGGACCGGCAGATCATTGCCCTTCTAGGCGGACCGCCATGCGAAACGTGGTCCCGCGCAAGGGGGCGCCACATACCCTCCGGAGCTCATGATGACCATCGACGCAGCCCTGGTCCGCGCGTTGTGCGCACCTTGGAGGAGATATGGGGACTTTGCTCACTCTCCTTGCGCGAGCTCAGCCAGGTCACCATCGGGAATATCCTCATGGGTTTTCAATTGGTTGCTATGGCAGCTTTGGCGTGCACGGGAGGCATTGCAGCCGTTGAGCACCCGGCGGAGTCGCCCAACCCGGATGATGCTTCCATCTGGCGCACGCCGATCATGCAGCTACTGCTCTCGCTTCCTGAGTGCGAATCCATCACCCTGGCACAAGGACTATGGGGAGCGCAGTCGTCAAAGCCAACGACTTTAGGTGTGCTGAATGCCCCGCAGCTTAAGCAAGAGCTGCATAGTGGGCGCATCACCAGCGAGTTACCAAAAGGTAGCTCGATTGGAAAAGACGCCTCGGGCCAGTGGGCAACTGCCCGTCTCAAAGAGTATCCTCCCGGCTTGTGCTTAGCCCTGGCCAGAGGTTTCCTTAGAGCCTTAGGTGATCTTCCCATCGACCCTGATTTACAGGTCTCCCGGCGTCATCGTGACATCTTTGACCCATTAGTGTGTTCCACTTACGGACAAACCTATGGGCCGGACTTTGCCGGTTGAGTGCTTTTGGTTTTCTTATTTGCCCATTATTTTTTCTGCCGAGCACAGCCCTCGGCTGAATTTGAGTGTGACCTGCGATGGCCGCAGCGGAATCTTTCGCTTCTTGGAGTCAGTGCCAAAAATATATATATATGTGTATGTCATATCATATCTTATCATCTGATCTAATAACAACATAAAGCCTTTATGACCTTGGCCTGCAGTTTTCTGCGCATCCAGCGTCCCGCCTAAGGTGAGCTTCATGTAGCCAGCCCGTGCCGCCAAGTAATCCAACTTGGAGCAGTTGCTGGAGATGTCATCCAGCTGCTCCAGGACCTGGTAGATTTCTCGAGAAGTTTTTATGGGGATGTTGGCTGATTTTGATATGTCTATTAGTTTTATGCGATTTTGGACAACAACTGATAACTAGCTATGAAGCACTGTTAATAATTGGTTGATAATGGGATAAACATGGATAAACCGTCTTCCAACTGGTGCAGGATTTCTTCCATCCACTGTATCATAGCAGACTGGTCAGGGCCAACTGGCAAACTCCTACAGCTTTTTGCACGGCTGCTACCAAGAGGCACTTCTCCTGAGTTCCACATGGAGATCACGTGGGGCATCAATTGCCTCTCTAAAATTGGCTGTTTTGAGAGTCAAACCATCCAAAGTTGGGCCATTTCTTGGCCCATTTTTCAGTTGTCCGCAGGTTGAACTTCAAACTCACGATCTTTGCTATGATCAATTTTCGACCAAGTTTCTCTTCTTGCACGCGTCCTTCCATGCCGGCTCTTGTTTCTCTTCCTTTTCTGACTGTCTTCTCTGAGCGATCCTCGGCACGTTCAAACCACTAGTGCTCGATCTCACTCACCCTGATCCAGGAAACTATATGCTATAATCTGCAGGCCCCAGAAACTGCAGCACACCATGGCCATCAATTTCATTTGTTTGTTTACCTGTTTTGTATATTTACAGTAAACAAAAGTGTTACAACATGTTAATATGATGATTTGGGGGGTTCAACAAATTTGTTCTGAGGGCATGGCAGCTGGTATTGCTGTCCCAGCATCCAACTCCCTCGGATTGTGCAATCTTCGGATGAGGATCTCCTAAGCTCGTGCTGCCCCAGCCACTCATCAGCGTCCAAAAATGGGCCCTTTTCTGTCGGAAAAATCTATGAATGAGATGGAATTGGCCATTGTCGTGCTAAATTGTTTCAACAGTATAGATCAGTATGGCATACGTATATACATATACATATATAATCATATATATATATATATATACGACTTGAGACGGGGTGACACGAAAGGTAGTTGTGTGTTGTGTCACAGGGGACGCGGGGGATCACTCAGTGCGAAAGCCGACATGCGACCGGGCCCTTTTCTGCTGACACCAAGCCTTAGGCTTGTCAATATGGACGTCATGCGCTAGCAAATCGCCGCTTTGACAGAACGAAGAGGGTCGTTGTGATGTGACTCCAGCTGGGGTGGTTCATGAACCGTGGACGGGCATGAAACTGGACATTCATAGCTGAACAGAGATATCTGGAGCCGAAAAGAGGGCACCCCACGATTGCCATGGTTGATCATCACTTAGTCTATTTAAAGAGCCATTTGGAGGTATATTGTCTGACACACGCATCGTGCGGGGAAAAAAAAACACGGTCAGTGTTAGCACAAACCCCAAAGTCACTTTTGCGGTACCTATGGATGCTCGAACCTGGCACTTTCATCGCACCGTTGGGTACGTGGCAAATGGATGTCGAAAAATCCGAATTATGATGATGATGATGATGATGAGAATGATGAGAATGATGAGAAGGATGAGAATGATAACGATGATGCTGATGATGAGACACTGCGAAGGGGCTGCTGCGTGAAGAGACGCACAAGGCATGTGACGAGAGTTCACTTGGGGGGGGCAGCAGAGCGGAGATATCTGGATCCGAAAAGAGGGCACCCCACGATTGCCATGGTTGCTCATAACTTAGTCCATTTAAATAGCCTTTTGGAGGTATACATTGTCAGACACACACATCGCGCGGGGAAAAACAAACACGGTCAGTGTTAGCACGAACTCCAATGTCTCTTTTTGCGGTACCTATGGATGCTCGAACCTGTCACTTTCATCGCACCGTTGGGTACTTGGAAAATGGATGTCGAAAAATCCGAATTTCAAGTCAAATGATGATGGTGGTGAGGAGGAGGATGATGATGATGATGATGTTGATGATGATGGTGATGATGACGAGACACTGCGAAGGGGCTGCTGCGTGAAGAGACTCACCAGGCATATGGCGAGAGTTCCCTTTGAGGGGGGGGAGGGGGGGGGTCCCTTTCTCCTGGTCGTTCAAGGATAAGGGGTCCAGCCCGCCCCTTTGCTTCGCAAAGTAAAACTCAAGGTAGCCCGCTAGGAGGCTACCTTTCGTGATTATATATGTGTAATATATGTGCATATATATATATATAGAGAGAGAGAGAGATGTTATATGATATTACATCTGATATACATATATATACAAATGATATATGTTTCACCCCTGACCCCTGTTGCACCTTTGTCAAGCTGAGGCACCAAAGCTTCCTGTGAGGGCTTCAGCAGAGGTTTCAAGGTCGTCACCGCCAAGTCCGGAAAACCCGCATAGTTCGCATCGGCCTGGGACAGCCCGGTACTTGAAGAGGTGCATGGGATGAGAACATATGGAAAAACCACTCAAAGAAAACACAAAGAATGACCATTTCCGCTATAGTAGACGGTAGCAAGATGTAAAAAGTATAGAAGCAGGGGATTTTTTTAGTAGTAAGAGAATCCTCAAAGCTGTTTTCTTTCTGGTCCTGAATTATAGGAGAAAAACGTGTCGCCTCTAGTTACTCTCGGTTTTGGATTGTGATGAGGTCGTTTGATTCAGCCCAAGTATGTGGAGAACGAACTGCATCCTGATGCAAGCCTACGAGCATCCGGCTCGAGCCTTGCGCTGCCAAGCACCCACATGGTAGCGCACAAAGTGTTCCACCCAAGCGGTTGCTTCCTGCATTGCTGCTACAAATGCACTTCAACGGGGTCGTATATGAGCCAATTGGCATCATTTTAGCGCGGTGTGTTGGAACATATCCTGGTAAGTTTTCTGAGTTTAAGTGTGGATCGGTTTTGAACCGTCATTTTCCCAGGTGCACATCTTAATTCTCTCCGCTGCACCGCATCGATCTGTGGCATCGCTGTCCTTGAAGGATTCTCGGGGCTTCAGCTCCAATGGAGGATCGCTCCAATCGATGATTTCCAAGCCACCGGGCCTTAGACCATGGGCCGAGGCCATTGCTGGATTTTTCAACGTCCCCATTGGTTGCAGGGTGCCATTCTATCTTCGATATATGGCTATGCACCTGGTTCATCCAGTTCTGCAAAAGTGAGATTAAAAAAAAGTGGAGAATGGTATTTGCCTTCAACCATGAACCATAGTCCATTTTAATCATATAGAAACAGGGCACTTGTCTCCTGATATGTTCACAATTGTTGAATATGCCCCATTACATCACATTTTCTGTTGGATTAAATGTTAAATCACCATTTCAGTCCTGATAAATCAATAATCAAGATTATCAAAAGGTGATTTCTACAGTTTATAAAAAAATATCCACTTGATCAAAGCATCCGTTCTTGTTGGTTTACATGTGTTTATATAGTTTTATATAATCGATGTTGGTCACATAACCCTGATACTACACTATATATGTTGGTTAGATCTATGTACGATATATATTCGTATCTAATCTATAAGCATATAACATCATATAATATCACATATATATATATTCACACACACACACACATATATATATATATATATAATTATATATATTCATATAAATTCATATATAATCACATATAATCTATGTATATCATACAGATTTTCTTGGCCCAACAAATCGCCAAGGCGCCCCAAGAGATCCTCGCTGTCCGGCGAGTTGTCCAGGTCGCTGGAGTTGGGCTCCGGCTCCGGTGCCTTCTCGGCCGTACACCTGGCGTCAACCAACGGTTCGATGTGGAAAATCTGGGGAAATCCCGGGGAAACCAGGCTGGTTTTCCACAGCGGTTGGCATCGTTTGGCCAAACTTGGCGTTTGTGGCCAAGAATGAAGGTATACATGAAATAAACCTATGGAACTTGATAATCAAATGATAATCAACTCCAAGTGGGGGATTTCACGTCTGGTTTTGGGCCGATTGGCACCAACGAACCTACAAAATGCCTAAGTGTGTGTGTGACCATTTTGACTCCATTTTGACTCCATATCACCATTATTCATATCTGCTAAATATTAATATTGGCTCATGGCCATTTCAAAGCACCCACCGCGCTAAAACGAGTCACGCGCCGTTCTTCTCCATGATTTTACCTCGGGAGAGGCAGAGACTGTGACAAGTTGACACCTCCAGGCAACTGGGGGGCACAAAGATGCACACATGTTCACAAATGTATACCGGAAGGCAACCAAAGTTGAGCTGGTTGATAGTTTTAGCATTAGCCAAATGATAAATAAATACATTATAAATCATTGCTACTGTAATCTTGGATGCCCGGCATGCTTTAGCTGGTTTATATACCTTCCCATTAGTGGCAAGAGATTTAAAGTAATGACATGTAATGACCATCAACTGCCCATCAACTCGCTTTCCGAGTCACAACATTTGTAGCCCCAGCGTTTCAGCTCCAGGTCATACAAGGAGCCCCAGACAGAGGTGTGGTCGTTGATCCACCTGGTTAAGAAGTCTTCCTATTCGGGGCAATAAACAATCCACACAAATCCCATTAAACCAGATTACCCTCTGGTAATTTAACATAACTATGGAATATCACCATGTTTAATGGGAAAATCCACTATAAATGTCCATTTTCAATAGTAAACTGTTAGTTTACCAAAGGGTATATCATCGTGTTGGCTTGTGGATCCCCTGTGGCCCTGCACCGTTTTTTCAGCTTCTGCGATCGATCCATCATGATCCATCTATGATATCTGTCCATCCAGTCACCCACTGGCAGCCATACCCAACAGATCCAACAGTTACGTTAGCTCAAGATATCCACAAGTCAAGGGGCACATCCTCCTTGTACAGAGTTGACCTGATGAGGATCTGAGGGGACTTCTTGGTACCAGGTGATGCGGGCTGGTCAAAAACCCAACGGAAAATCCCGTGCTTTGCACGGTCGAACCATGGGGAATCCCAGCTCATGGCTTGGTATGCCATGACCCCAGTCATCACTTCCGGACAGCCTCTGGTAATGCACTGTGGCAATAGAAAGTCTCCGTGTACAGCAATTAAATCCTTTGCCTGTCCAAGAATTTGCTTCTCCCAGTCTGATATCCCATATGATCCATATGGGTGACCAAAATGACCAAAATGCTCAAAACTATCGGCAATCATTCGGCAACCTGAAAATCAGCAAAATATGAGCAAAACTCACTAATTCAATACTAATTCAAGAACAAGGTCGGCTTCAGCAAACCTGAACGAAATCCTAGAAAAGTGTTGGAACAGAACCAAGACATCAACATCATGAAACGAATCATCAAAAAACCAAAATCACCTAAACAAATCCAAGCTGATTTCATAACGGAAAAATCTTCAGCGATTCCACCCATCACTTCGCCCCCCAAAAAAAATCCCTGGGTTTCCGCGCTCCAGAAGCCTCTTGCCCGGTGCAGGCGTTGCTTCTGTGGGCGACGCCGTTGCTTCTGGCGATGCCGTTGCTTCGGCCTCGTGTTTTTTGTTTGTGGGATGGTACTTCAAGTAGCGCAATCACATAATATTAATTATGTATGTTTTATCATCCAAAAGTATTGATCATGTTCAAATATAACTCACTTGATCTCACTTATATATAATATGAGAGGAAAGACTCACCGATTTATAATTTAACTAAATTTGAAACGTATGCTCTAGTCACACCTCAAAAACTTGACGGTTGCGTGTGACGGTGACCTTGAAATTTAGATAATCTATAATGATTTATATGTAGATTAGGTGTCACCATGATTATCGTAATTTACTGGAGGTTGTAAATTGGAATTTACTGGACTCTGGATCTGAACAATCAAACGTTTCCTGTACAGCTCTCGGCGGCATCGAATATATAACATACTATAACATACTATAACTGTATAGCGGTACTCAAACGTGGCAATGGAAAATCCATGAAAATCCCCCATCTATGATTTATATATGTATAATTATGTATATATATATATATATGTTCTCACTAAAACTTCCATTTTTAGGGGACTTCCTAGCCATGTTTGACCCAAGGGGAAATGATGGGAAATGTGTATAACCACCATGACCACGCCACAAAGATGGTTTTCTTAGGTTTTCGATGGAATTTCTCAAGTTCATAGTGGTTAATCATGGTTAATAAATGGTGATTAAATGGTGATTCATGGTAGGGATGGGGATATAACTTGGGGTGATTTGATGTGGAAGCAATGGCCCATTTACTTCGATGATTTACCATCATTTACCTATAAAAATGAGGATGTTCCTGGTCGCAAACTGTGAAATTACCATATCCCCACCTCGGCCATCTCAAAAATGCCGCCGGCGTGCTGCTGCTTCCCAGTTTGTCGTTTTTTCTATGTGTTTTTGTTATTCTTTTTGGCAGCGGTGGTTGGGTTGAAACTTCATTTGGAAGACTCTGAGATGCCATTTTTTGGTGCTTTGGGGTTGTTGATGGAGGCTGGAAGCAAAAATGAAGTGCTGATTTGCGTGGCGAGGACTCTGATGAAGCCTTGGCTTTGCAAGCTTTGCACCTTCTACCAATGTACTCATGATCTTTGGCTGGAGCAAGCCAAGCAAGGGGTGCCAGCCATGTGGTTGGGCCAAGCCAAGTGCTTGCAGATGACACACCGTATCCATCCGTAACAACTCTCAGATCCGAACCACTGATTGCTATATCCTTTTGAGTCCATGTCCATGCCGTTTTTGGAAATGGCCCACTGTTAAGGCCAAATAAACCCACGATGCACCCGATTTCATGCATCGTTTGGACAAGTTGATTTTTGCATATTTTTGCACAGCTCCATGCAAACCTGCAGGAGAAAAAAAACCTAAATTGCTACAAGATGGCAAGCAGGCGAGCAAAGGACGTAGCTCATCAACCACTCCAAAACTTGCCGTTGCATTCTACAGTATCCACACCAGGATGGATATGATCTGAGGCGAAATTCCTGCCACCTCCTTTGGTCCAATGCCGCAATGCCATCCAGACTCTCCCGAAGTTTGCAAAATTCCACCTGCACCAGCATGATCCAAAAGCTCAACTTTAAACACACAAGGAAACTAGGACCACTATCTCAATGTTCCCTAGGCTGGTTTAAAAGATATACTAGGAAGATACTGAGATATACTGGGCATGGACAATCATGACACTCCATGACAACTCCCAGTGTTTTGTCAGCCACGTTCGGTTTCTATCCCACAATGGTGGGCCCAAGTGATGCGAATTTCCAAAGCATAAGCATTAGAAACACCCATAACTGGACTAAAATCATGGCTAATTCATTCCAACCCACTTAATAATGGCTTCATGTTTACAATTCACCCAATTCCAGCAATTCTATATACTGGGCCCCCTCCCCCCTGCGAGCGCGTGCACCGTTTTTCTGTCCCATCGCGACTGTTAAGATGCAGCGTCAGCAGATCGAGCAGAGAAGATAGAACGAGCCGAGGGAGGGCCCCACCACCTATGGCATGTGACGGCGAAAGATCGACGGCGAACTGGGACTTGTCATCTTGCAACTCTGCAACTTTGCAAGAGGCGAAATCCATGGAATGCTTCAACATCTTCAACAATCTTGCAGATATGTTAATTATATATATATATATGTATATCTGGGTAAATTATAATATTTCACTAACCTGAATTAAGGCCATTTGGGGATGATTTCCAATACTAACCATTATTCCAGTGAGGTCGCAGTGAGGTCGTTATATTTTACCCAGAATATATATATATATAATAATAATAACAATAATAATAATATGATTCAAAATACGGACTTGAACAAACTACCTGCCAATCCCTGCCCACTGTTTCTACCGTTGTCGGTATTTTTCCAGGCCACCATTTTTTTTCCCAAGGGACACGAAGGTGAAGAAAACGCAAATCCCCGTGGCATAGAGTCCTGACTTTCAATGGTCGGCGATGTTCCATGTTGGCGCCCCGCGTTTCTGCTGGTTGTTTTGATCGAATGCCTATGATATCCTCATTTTGGTCCAATCCCCAGGTGTGCACCCACGGCCCTTCCTATGATGTAGCTTCTTCCGGCTTCATCTACCTGCCTAAGGCATCGATGGGATCGAGTGAGATCATTGGATGGGCAGATAGATAGATAGGCAGGGAGATAACTATTAAGCTTAGACAAATGAATCCATCATATCCATCCACCTTAACATCCTGTCCAATACTAGGTAACCGAAAAAAGGCTTATTTTGGTTGAGCTCCTGTGTATATACTATATATATATATCTCTCTCTCTCCCTCTCTCTCTCCATGTGTGGCAAAAGATTAAAGTACGAAACTAACCACAGACACATCACCAGGACCCCCGTTGACCTTAGGCGCGTTTTCCCCTTGTGCGTTTTCCGTCCGCTGGGGCGTCCGGACACCTTGGGGACTTGGAACATCTTCAACCATCCCAGGTCTTCCTCAGGTGGCCTCGCTTCACCGGGGTCAGGGGGTTCATCTCGTCTTCCCTTTAAAGGCGAAGTCAACGCAAGATGATGCGCGCAAACACAGATGAATCCCATGCGTATAATATATTTATTTATTTATGTATTTATGTATTTATTTATTTATTTATGTATTTTATTTATTTGTAGATATAGATAGATATTGATTACAACTGCATATGATATGTCCATATATGTCCATAAAATTCTAGACGTCTATCATAATTATAGTCTTGACAGAATAACAACATATAAAAACCATGAACTGGCTCTCCAAGTAGTCCATCTCTCCACCTCTCTCTCTCTCTCTCTCTCTGAGTTTCTAGCTGCCAACGCCAAGGTTTCAGCCTGCATCATCCCATACACATACTACCCTCTGGTAATTTGTTGCTTAGCTATTGAAGCCATGGCACATAGAAATAGTTGATTGACCGAACTTAAAGATGGTGATTTTCCATAACAAACCCTTAGTTTACCAGAGGGTAACATCCAATCCAGACTTTGTGCATTGGCCTGGGCCTGGGTTTGCCCACACGTTGGGGAGAACTGGGCCAGATGTGCTTTCCATAGAATATAACATTCTTTTTATGTGAGGATGGGTCCAAACCTATGAAATTACCACATTTAGGACACATATTATTCCCATATTTAGGGGAATAACATGGAATAAACCTCCATTAACATCCTTTCACCAGCTGTTTTAGTGTACCCAATTAGGGTCCCACAACAATTCAAAACATGATAGAAAAACATCAAGGCCGGCACTGGCGCCAAGGTGGAAGCTGCTCCTCCTAACTTCGCGCTGGTTGGTGGTTGGTGGTTGAAGGAATTGGTTGAAGGGAGAATCTACAGGAAACCGTGCTTCTCCCCGTGAAACATAGGGGTTTCCTGCATTTTTTCCTTAAACCAATCCAGTGAAAAGAGCAAGTTGGAATGATAACAATGATAATAATACCATTTCTTATTATCATTATGATGGTGGTCACCAGCACCATCAACATCACCATCATGATCACCACCATCATGTTTCTAAGCGTATCTGTTGCGGTTTCAACATGTGCCTGTGCAAATACAAAAAAATGCTGTGCATGCTAGTATATCTACATATACATATGTGCATGTTAGTATATCTACATACTCAGTTTGTCTCTATGCATATATATATATAATTACATATACATCGATGTATCAATGCACACGCATTATATTTAGGTATCTATGTACTGGTATCTACAAAACTATCTATGAAACTATAAATGAGACTATCCACTATCTATCCATCTACTTGTACCAACCTACCCCACCTATCTGTCAATCTATCTTTCTATCCATGCATGCGTGCATATATGTGATAAATATAAATTTATAAATATATATAGATATAGAAACACACACCCACACACACATAGATAGATAGATAGATAGATAGATAGATAGATAGATAGATAGATAGATAGATAGATAGATAGACAGATAGATAGATAGATAGACAGATAGATAGATAG